ATTGATCAATCAATGATCAAAACAGTAAACAATTGAGCTGCTATAAGACATGTACGGAAGTCCTGAAATGTTCCAGAAGGGCTTTATGTGAATTCATTGCTCTGGACTTTTTCTAGATCCAGGCCCAAGTAAAATGTCTGGAGAATCTCCAAATTATTTTTTATAAGAATATAGCAGGATAAAGTCTGGAAAATTCACATCTAGCGAGTCAGTGTTTCAACGTTTCTAACACGCAATAGACGAGAAACTGGAAGAAAACAAATATCTCAGGATGAAAAAGAGATGCCATACACATAAAAGACTCAGACCAAGATGTTTTCTTGGAAAGTCAACGAGAGCTTTTGGCGTTAAGGGCTGATGCCGGGAACGATGTGTGGTCAATAAAAACATTGTGCTTTTTGCAGTGGAATTTATACGTTGTTACGGCCCCAGCCCATGTCCTGGCTTCTGCATGGTCTATCCACCATGGAGCACTACCCCTCGCTTGAATGTTGTAGACAATCTCCTGCAGACTTGGGGAAAATGTCTAGACTCAATTTTCATGTCTGAAAACAGCTTAAATTTTCTTTCTTAATTTTTTTTCATTAACTAATAAACTTATTTTGCCTCAGTTTTATTATTTCTCTGTACATGGGTTTTTGCATATATTTAATCTGCAAAACTGTGACCCAATATTGTGACCTCAGCTATAACACCCAGCTTTACCTGCGCCTCCTCTTCTTTAATGAAGTAGTTTCACTTAGTTGATGCTGAGTAACTTGGTCATGGTGGCAAAGTGAAGTGAACAGTTCGCTCGAAACCCTCAGCGTGACTTCTCTAATGAGGCTGACAAACAGCAGCAGCAGCACAGCTTGACTTGTCCTCTGTGGCTCCTCGTCGCTCAACATAAATTGAGCCTTTTCTCCAGTTAAAGCATTTTAAATGCTTTCGGAAGAAGCTATGGCAGATTTATCATTAGACAACCAGTGGAGAGGAGCTGCAGTAACAGTCCACATTGCGGAGGTGTGATATTTGAAAATCACGAGAAAATCATTTATATGAAACGAGAAACATTTTTCCTGTTGCTTTTCATTTCTTATCTTTCACTGCACTGTTTTTCCTCCCTCATGTTTTCACAAGAAAAACCACAAGTCAGTCACTGACAGATCTGTATTTCCCTCCTCTCTTTATCGCTGCTCTGCAGATATTATGTTTGTGTCTGAGGGCACATTAACTTCTCTTCTATCAGACTACACACTTGGTCATCTACAGTTTAGGGTGTGTTTTGTATGGAGGGCAGCAGGGAGCTTAACATATACAGTAAGATATCACTTCTATCCTAATGCACCATTTTCATACTGTCATTCATTTGATGTTCCTTTGGTTATAGAAACTGATGAAATTTACTAACAAGAGCTCCCAGAATTAGACAACTCATGGATTAGTCAGTCAACTTCAAGTTAATTAGAAACTAACCAAATAAGCAATTAATCAGTCATCATTGCTGTAGTAAAAGGCTACTCATTTGATATTTTCACTCCTTAAATGTGAAATTGTTTTGTATGTTTTTTGTGTGTTTGACACAAAAGAGATCAAGCAAAAGGCATTTTCACCTTTTGTTTTAAAGGCTGAGGAATCACAAAAATAATCGTTATTGATTGGAATGGAATCGTTGATTGCAGCCTTACAGTTA